GGTGGAGTAGCCTAGTGGTAGGGGGCAGGGCTTGTAACCGAAAGGTTGCTGGTTCAAGTCCCTGCTTGGGCACTGCTACTATATCCTTAGGCCAGGTACTTAACCCAGAACTGCCTCTGTAAGTGTCCAGCTGTATAAATGGATAACGTGTAAAAACTGTAACCTATGTAAGTTGCTTTGGATAAGAGCATCTGCTAAATGGTAATAATGTAATGTAACTTCCTCTGCACTCGTGTAGCTGGGTGTGGGAGGCGCGGAAGGGTTTATTTAAGCATGGTCTGAGGAGAGAGGAGAAGAGCAGGTTAGCAGGGCAGCTATCTTGCTAACCATATTATTGATTACTGTTGATTACCGTTGCTCATGCATTGAGAGTTCTGCAGTTGGTGTTTTGTATCAGCTTTAGTGGAACAGGAGGCTCCTTACCGGAGTGGAGGCAGCAGGTATCTCAGAGCCTGAGAAGCCAGCCGCCCCCGCGCCCGTGGAGGGGAGTGCAGGACAGCCACTGTGGTGTCCCATCTGGTGGCAGGTTGACTGTCTCGTTTCACTGGGACCCCCCCAGCAGAGACCCATCTGTCTGGAGTGTGAATGGGTGAGGCGTGTCCAGCACCAGTACCCACAACGTCATCCTCATCAGACCTTGTTAAATGGGAACCCCCTGATGACTGGTGGGCACACAACCGTGGAAATAGAGGAACCATCTGGTGAGAGTAGCCCCAAGCATCCATCTGTGTTGGGAACCTGTCCCTAGATTAAGGCAGAGGCAGGGGAAGTAAAGGTGCATTGAATTCTAGATGCAGTATGATAATATTTATTCAGTAATAATGTGTACAGAGTGGCATGGTGGAAAGGAGCAGGGCTTGTGACTGAAAGGTTGCTGGTTCGATTCCCTGCTGGGGCACTTCCGTTGTACCCTTGGGCAAGGTACTTAACCCAGAATTGCCTGTGTAAATATCCAGCTGTATAAATGGATAACATGTAAAAACTGTGACCTATGAAAGTCGCTCTGGATAAGGGTGTCTGCTAAATGACAATAAAACAAAGTTAAATAATGTTCAGCCTTGTTTTTTTTCACAGAGCTGGATTAAACTGGATCGGTTGCCCACCCGTTCATAGCTCATCTTAAAGGCACCAATGGCCTGCAGAGTCCATTCCTGGTGCTGGATCTCATTGTCACGGGAGTCAGCATACTGGAAAGGCAGTAATTATCATCCAGATTGATTGCATGGGTTTTGAACACAGGGTGTTTGGAATAAACATCATTTCACAGAATTGACGAGAATTTCAGGATGGTACAGCTGGGTACCCTCACATTTACTGCCAACTGACTGGGTTAAGGGGTGTTTGATGAGATGGGGGTGGGCATTTAGGGTGTATTCAAACCCAACAGCAGTCTCATGCTCAGGTGGGAAGCACCTGATTGACTCACCAGGACCCCAGGGCAGTGCAAACCCATTCTAAGGTTCTCTGGTGGGCTCAACTGGACCAGGGCTTACAGATGGATGATGACTATGGCATACTGGTAGACATGGACAGTGGAGGGAAATGCAAGATGGTTTGCACCCTTGTGCGAGTAAAAGAGGGGTGGGTTCCCCTCTGAATTTTAAATGTGAGGTGCTACCCCCTTATAATACACCAGAGGCACCCCCGGCGACTATGACTCACATTGATCCTAAACGGGTACATGGAGGAACCTATGTCCAGGTGAGGTGGAGGTCAAGGTGGGAATCTGTCAGGCACCCTCTACCTCCCAGAAATGAAGGGCCACACACCCAAGCAGAATCAGAAAATTCAGACTCTCCTGCAATGCTGGGCAGGGGTATTTGCAGCCCAGGAAGAAGATTTCAGGAGGAATTATGTTGTCCCGCTCACACCCCAGTTTCTAGGCTGTCTAGCCAGGTTGCACAAGTTAACTTGTGGTAGGACTAGTGTTATGTTCACACTTGCTGGTCTGGCAGTGTGTTAGCTTCGTCTGACACTTTTGCTCATTCAGCTTGAATGTATACACTTCTGTTGTCTTACGTTGGAAGTCACTTTCGATAACAGAGTCTGCTAAATGAATGTAATATAATGTATTATAATACGATGTAATGTAATGTAATCCCATGGGAGATGCCCCCCCCCACCCCCACCCCAAACATACCGGGTATCCCATAAACCTATTAAATGTTTGAAATAAAGGAAATGAAAGAAACAGAGGAGTGCAAGCATTTACATTGGAGTTTTTCAGGAAGACCTCGCCAAAAACGCTGAACAAAACAGAAACAGCCAGCAGCCCTCCAGGCATTCCATGAGCCACAATGCTGATCCAAGACTCCTGACTTCCACAGTTTCCAAGGTGATTTTCCACGGGATTTCCAGCTCCACGTTTCATTTTCACTTTCACTTCATTGTTACCCAACACGTGAATGGAATTTCCCACCGCCGTGCCAGGCATGGAACGGACTTTCTGCAGAGATTACCCCCCCCATGTCACCCCCACGAGGGGAGTTGGCCATTGGGAGAGATCGCTCAAAAGCCCCAGCACGCTCTGCTGTGTTTAATCCCTGCTGGTCGTTGTGGCTTGTTCTAACCAGAGCCTGGGACGGGACAGAGTGAGCGATCTGACCAGGTCTGACCAGACAGCAGTTCATTCCAATCATTCACCGCCTCAATGCTCATCATGTGGTCTGCATACCGAGCATAGCTTAGCCAAGTGTTACAGACTCATGAAAATTTTAACCGAGTGAATTGTTGCAAAGTTGTGAATTAGTGTGAAGACGTTTGCAACCTTTGAGAACGGCCACGACAGCTGTGGTTGCTTATACCCTCAAGGCGAACAAAAGCAAAGCGAACGGAGCAGTCAAACAGCACTGTTCTCTTCGACTCTCCGCTGTTCTCTCTGAAAGTCTTAATCACTCCCAGTTTGCACGGTCCGTAATCTCGGCCTGCAGACGTTTGAAATGGATTACTGTGATTCCCGGCCGTCGTTACGAGGGCCAGATCTCCAGGTTTCCCGTGGCGCAGCGAGCAGCGGGAGTGTGAGCCGGTGGGAGGCGAGTGGGCAGGAGAAGGACGTGACGCCGCATGTGACTGTGTGAAGTGGGGAAATGAGGCGGTCATAATCACCGCCGCTCTGGAGTCCAGAACATCAGCGAGGCGGCTGAAGGGGGAGAAGAGGAGGAGGGCTATCAGTGAGGTTGAAGTTGGGGGTGAGACAGAGAGGAGGAGTAGGAGGAGAAGGGACTAGCATGATGCTAGATAAGTTACAGGAGGAGTGTAGCCCAGAGGAGAGGGGGAGAAGATAAGTATAAGGATAAGACGATAAGGAGTAACAACGAGGTTGAAGTTGTGTGTGTGTGTGGGGGGGTCTGGAGCAGAAAGGGGGAGAAGAGGAGGAGGTGTAACAGCAAGGTTGAAGTTGTGGGAGGGGGGAGTAGGAGAGGAGTACACTAGCATGATGCTAGATTAGGGAGAGGAGGAGGGCAGTCTGTAGGAGTGGCGGAGAAGAGGATGAGCGGGAGGATGAGGAGGAGTAGAGGGTGAGGATAAAGGCCCGTAGGAATGGGGGTGAGTTTTAGGGGTTTTTGTAGTCGAGGGGGGAGTTTTAGGGGTTTCTGTAAAGGCCAGGCCAGATAAAGGCAAAAAAATAAACACCACAGAAAAGTGGAAAAATGGGGAAAGCCCACAGAGGAGTACAGTATATAAGAATATGGGCACTTCCTGTTTATACAATACTTTATGTTTATTTGCACTTTATTTCGTGTCCTTTTCATTTCATCTCTGGAAATCACCCTTCAGTTTTCACTTCTGCCACCACTGACACACCCATCCTGGAATTTGACCAATCATCTGTCTTTAATTTTGAAAAAAAAAAAAAAGAAATATTTGAAATTTGAAAATACATGGAAATTATGTTTTTTCAAAAAACTGTTTTTTTTTTCATTAATTTTGGTTTGAACAGTTGAAATCAGTCTGTGTGTGCCTGAATTAAAAGTTGATCCCTCATCACCTACAGCTCTGACAGACCTTGAAAGAACTGGTTCCTCTTGTGCAGCTCTGAAAGTATGGGTATCGATCTGTCAGCTCCTCCTCAGCACAAACACACAGAGACACACACACACACACACACACCCTGCATGACTTTACCAATCAGCTGATTTGCTCTAATCACAGACAAACCAAACTGACTGGCATTCTTCTTAGGTGACTGGCCTGTGAACAGAGGACATTCTGTTAGGAGATAAGGAATCCTTTCATTGTGACGAGCAAGATGCAATGAAAAAATAAGGATGTCCCTTATAATTCCCTGAAACTCGCAGAGCCCGAATCGTGAATGAAACGTCACGTGCAGATGGATCCCCTGACCGTCGTGAATCCTGTCGGATTTCGAACAGACCGGGACGTGCGTCAGTGGTGTGACTCCTCTTTCCTGTGTTTCAGCGGAAATGGGATTGATATGATCTCATTGTGCAATATTTCCAGAAGTCTGTCATAACTCCCATCGTCCCTCTCCCTCCCCCCCCCACCCCCAACCCCAATCAGAAGCAGCTTAAATTGTGAAAGTTCGGTCTGCATTGTATTTTAAATTGACATTCGGACTAATCCCTCAAATCTGTCAAGCCTCGTTCTTCGCTGCTTGTGGTTGGGTCAGCTGAGATGGTGATGGTTCAAGGCCTGTGAAGGCGTAGGCATCTTTAACACACACACACACGCACACACACACACACACACACACACACACACGCTGTTTTTTTTCCCAGAAACCCTTTCAGATAGATTACTGTGCTAAATCTGGAGTGGATGCTGTCACCAGGCCCATCAGCAGTATTATACAAGTTTAATTACTGGAGCTGACGGCTTATCGGCTGGCGCTGCCTCTGCTAACGGGCCCAGCGCTCTTAAGCTCAACCTTAATTAAGCAGGTTGCATTGGACAGAGTGTATCTAGAGGAATTAAATGTGTAAAAAAAGAATTCTTATTTTTAAAATTATTCTGTGGTGTAGTGACTGATTCTGTAATCTAGTGACTGATGTATCTAGGGACTGATGTATGGTAGTACACTTGGCTTTCCTTGTCTTGTCAAGTACCACAAG